ACTTGAGACATTCCTAGCTTCAGTAAAGTTGTAGGCTACAAAATAAACCCACAGGAATAATAATGTTTCTTTATAATAATAATTCTAAGCAGTAAGGGAATAAAGGAAGGGAAGTCCCACTCACAATAAGTTGTATACATATACACACACAAAATATATGTGTGAATCAAACCATTACACACACACACACACACACACACACACACACACGTCAAACTTCCAAATTCAGTACATATAGAGAGACAATTACAAAATGCTCCTTAAAGAAATAAGGAAAAGTAAAATATCTAGAGAAATATTCAGTTGTCATGGCTAGGAAAAAATAAAAATGATAGCATTTAGGCTAATTTAAAGACTTAGTACTATATTAATTACAATATCAAAGAGACACTTCACAAAGCATGATAAAAGAATAACATTTCGCTTGGAGGAACAAAATAATTAAAAATAAGCAATGAACTAACAAATAGTGGGGAAAAGGATAGAAATGAAGAGGAATAGCACTTCTCAAAATTCAAACCATTATGAAGCAATCATCAAAACCATAGAATAATTTAGAAAAGGAAGAATCAGAAGTATTTGGAATTCAATAATCCAGTGTTCAGCAAACCAGAAAACATAAATTAATTAGGTCACAAGTAAACTAAATGATAAGAAGGGATGTGAAAATTGGGAAAAAAAGTCATATAGTAATTGGGTTTAGACTAACATTTTGCACCCCACAATAAATCCAAAATGGATGTGACCTAAATAGTGTAGATAATGCCATTAAAAATTAGAACAGAAGAGATTACAGATATCTTTCAGAATTATGGGTAGGAAATTAATTTTTTACCAAATAAGGGATAGAAGTAATTATTAAAGATAAAATAGATAATTTTTGTTATAAGAAAATGAAACACTTTTGCACAAATAAATTAACACTTTGGATAAGAGAAGACTTGGGAAAAGTCTTTATATTAAATATCTCTGATAAGGATTTTATATTCAAGATAAACAGTTAGCCAATAGAAATATATTAGACCAAAAGCCATTCCCTAGTAGAGAAGTAATTAAACTCTAAAGTATGGTAAGCTATTAACAACTATGTGAAAAATACTTCACATAACAAGAGCAATGCAAATTGAAATGTCACCCCTCAACTTGGCAAAAAGGAAGCAGCTAGAGAGAGCAGTGGCTAAAGCATTGGACTTTGAGTTGGAAAGATGAGTTTAAATCTGGCCTCGGATACTTATGAACAGTGTGACCCTAGCTAAGTCACTAAAGTCTTGTCTCTCTTGGCTTCATCACCTGTAAGATGGGGATAACGTTAGCATCGACCTTCCAGGCTTTCTGTTAAGATCAAATGAGATAATACAAATTATGGTTTTTAAAGCATATTTATCTGTCTGCCTTAATAACAATAGTACGTGTACAGAAACTCTCCTTACACCCAACACCAAAATACCAAATCTATTTGTCTAATCAATCATTTAATGAGACATGGTACCTTTTTAATATCAGTAACTTGCATGTAAACTATGTCAGGAGAACAAAGTTTGGAATAATTCAGGACTTATTGATTCATCAGACTAAAAACTTTCCCCTTGACAAACTCACTTCCCAGAGCTACCCATTGACTTCCTTAGAATAAACAGGCTCTTGAGCCATCAATTTATACAGGTATCATACAAGACTGTTTTCCTTCAAAATTTCATAGTACTTTTTGAAGCATTGCGTAGTTAGCCATCCTTTACTATGTTGTTGGTGAAAAACAAAAGACTGAATATTTTTAGTAGAAATGTTCTGTGAATATATCACAATGAAAACCCCACAAACTCTGCTACCCATCCTCAGATTCATAGATCACATGTCTGGTCTGATACCTGCTCTAACTCTTTTTGTTTGTTTTTTGTTTTGTTTAACTGATAGTGGCCATCTTCATCAGAGGTCTTTAGTATATCCAGTGATAGACAAGCTTGGCAAAATGAGGGGTTGTGCTTGTATTTACTATTTTCTTTCCAATGCTGTTATTCTAATTATTAAAAAAATAAATTTTAGATGATCTCTGAAACTTCGTGGATAGTTAAATGAACACATCATTAGATATGTGTTAAGTTACTTCTAAATGAACCAGTCTCCCAAATTTGAGAGACGTGGTAAATGAAACTACTAAAACCAAGTCACTTCAAAGAAAATCTTTTTTTCAAATATTTTACTTAATTGTGCAAAACGATCCAAAAGCAATCCAAGGGTATAGGTTTCAGGGTTCTTGGTTTAAGGCAGATATGGCATAAGGGTTTCAATTTGGATACAGCATATGAATTAGAGACTGTTCCTCTCACCTCCTGTCACCTCTAGAAAATATCCAGGAAAAGAAGATAAAATCATTCTATTGGGGTCTGAGGAGCAATGTTGCTCCCATGACAGCCAAAGTTTTTGTATACCTTGGGGATAGGAGTGGTGGTTTACCAGTCAGTGCAGCCTTACCCTGGGAAGCCAATCATGTTCCCAAGAGCTGTCTCAATGCTTAATATGGTTAAATGAGACAATCTGGGCCTAAGTTAGAGTGAACAAGACTTAGATCAGAGTAAACAAAGACAGGGTTAATTTGAGCATTAACAGGGTTAGATTGAACAAGCTGAATTACACCATGAGGCCTACAGGCTACATGTAATTTCAGGGAAGCTAAAATATATTTTGTACAACCTTGAGGTTAAATATCCAATACCACATAGGTTTAAAATATTAATTTGATTGTTCTTATTTGACATGAGCCAAAAATAGATTTAATCCACAGTATATGTTCAACCAATACTCATGAATCCCTCTATACTTTTGAATTCTCATTGAAATGTATATAACATTGTTATGCTTCCATAGCTTTCTATGTTCATGTAAAGTATTGATCTTCATCTGTGGGAATAACACCATTGATCTGCAATAAATAGAACACTCTGTGGGGTGTCTTTTACTTATATGAGTAGGTGTACAGAGCTTCGAAAGAATACAGAGTGCTGTGGAAAAATGGAATTACTTAGTTGTAGATGAACTGGATTCTGGAACTTCTATACACAAGGAATCTCAGTCTTCCCAGTATTACCAGAAACATAGTGTCTACCTCTTCCAGTTGCAGTAAAACATGTCTTCAGATCTATTGCAGAGAGAGTGCTAGCAATCCATGTTGTCTTGGTGCCTGTTGCACGCATAACTGCCCTATCAGACCTGACATTTCCTTGTCCATGAGATTTAATTAAAATTACACACGTACACACACACACACACACACACACACACACACACACACACACGCACGTGCCCCTTTTTTTCCTACTGACTTTTGAGTGTGAAATATTAGAGCCCCAGGAAGTTAGTGTCATTATGTGGGGTTCCCCCCACCAAGAGGAAACATGAATAACAAGACCAATTTATACACATGTGGTTTCCTTATTTCTGTCTTTTGTTGAGATGATTTCCTTTCCTTTAATCAGTTAAGGCCAGTATCTTGCCTACATCATAAAACTGTCCAGACCATTATTGGTTTTATACTTTTAATCTAGAAAAGAGTGCCCTCCATTGGTTAGGGACCAGAAACTAACACTACAATTCTGTTTAACTTCTTAACGCTAATTGACTTTTACAAAGGAATACCATCACATTCCATTCAAAAATGGAATTTAATTATACATGGAACTGCTGACCACACAATAATGCCTTGCTGTTTTCTCATTTAAACGAAGACAATGTTGACTGTAATAAAACTGGTTGAGGCTCATGAAATTTCAGTTCTGCAGAAAAGCATCATTTCTTCTTTGAAACAGGCCAAGAGAAAATACAGCAGAAAATTCTGCAAAAGACAAGATATAATAAGTAACCACTTAGGTATTTGATTCTTGATCTATAACATTTTTCCTTACAAAACTAATTGAAAATGGTTCTACAGAGTAGCATACTCAAATGACGACTGAATGTACCCTCCACATGCTTTCTGCCTCAGCTGGTATACTCTTTGTTACTCAAGTGTGCCATGTCCTCTCCAGCCTCTGTCTTTGTTTATGATTTTCCCATGCTTAGGATACCTAAATATATTCTCTGACCAGTTGACTTTTCTGGTTGAATGCCTATCTAATAATAATCATAGCTAGCATTTTAATAGTGTTTAAGATTTGAAAAGCATTTTGCAAATATTTTTATTTTATCCTAACACTAACATGGGAGATAGGTGCTATTATTATCTTCATTTTACAGTTGAGGAAACTGAGGCACCCGAAGGTTAAGTGACTTGCCCAGGGTCAGACAGCTAATAAGTGTCTGAGTCTGGATTTGAACTCAGGTCTTACTGACTCCAGGTCTAGTACTCTATTCACTGTGTCACCTAGCTGCCTAATGAAACAATCTATTTGTTAAAGCCCAACCTAAATAATACCTCCATAAAGCCTCTCCCTTATCCCAATATTGACAATAACCTTCCTCTTCAGACTTCATATAGTAGCATATTGTTTTGTACTCCTCTGATGCAGTTTTAAAATTAAGTTTCCATCTTAAATCTACCTGAGTATATGACATAAATCCTGTTAGTAGACTATAAATTCTATGGGAGTAAGGAATCATTTTTAAGCAAAATTTTGAATCTCACTAGTGCCATTACATTGTTCTATGCACAGTAGATAATAAATGTTTGATATGTAATTAGGTACACTCTGGCCTACCATTTCAGGAGTAGGCCACGTAGCTATACCTCTCCCTCTAGTCCCAGGATACCTTGAAGTGGTAGGGTGGTTTTTCTCTACTGCAATTGGCATGATCTTCCTCTGACTGTGTGTCCTCCATTTGTTAGGGACCAGAAATTAATATGCAGTTCTACTTAACTTAAGTAGAACTTAAGTTCTACTTAACATCAACTGACTTTGACAAAGGGGTATTGACCTAAAAGATATAGCAAGAACAAACATATAAACATTTTTTCCAGTACCTCTGGGGCATACTCTCACCTATACCAACTTTTGTCTCTCTATGACTAGGTTGAAAACAACTCAGTTCTACGTATCATTCATTGGCCCGCCAAGTACATGGTGAGATGTGTCAAGACTGCCAGGTTAGACCTTCTGCTAGACTCTGATCCCAAAGGATGCTCTGATCAACAGGGCTGTGCTGCTTGCAAACCTGACCTGGACTCCAACTTTGCATTCCTGTGGCTAGCTGTCCCATAGTGGGAGACACTACTCCCTGTGTATGGAACAGAAAAGAATGAACAACAGCAACAAAAAAAAACCAGAAAACAAAAATCTAATGATGTAGGTCCATTTCTTGGGGGCTATATGGCTTCAGAGGGGACAAAATCCATAAGTCATCCTCTTTTACCTTGTGGCATCTCACACTGTGAGCTTCTCCAAACACGAATGTACCATCTAGGTGGCTAATGTTGGTTGACTTAGGCCTTTTTGAAAACACTGATAGTTCTGGCTGTAAAGCCAATCAAAACAGTCTATTATCAACTAAATTACCAGCCAACAGTATTCAATTATAGACTCTACATATTCTCTATATACAATCTCTCCAAGGTACTTCTCTTATATATTAACATGATTTTCCTGGAAGCCATCTCCCTACTCTTTCCACAAGGAGAATCTGTTTCAGTTGGGTAAGCTGACTGGATCTGTATGTGTGCCAGAACCTCATTACATTCTCCCCCTCCTCCCTTATAAAACCTTTTGCTGTCCTCAGCAAATAGGTAAGAGTGTACTTTGAACACATTATCCATGTCCCCAGCCCAGAATTGTTTTCTGACTTCTCTGGAAAGGCATGAGGATTCTACTTGCTTTCCTAGTGCTATATAGGAAAGAATAGAAAAATATATAGCCACTGTAGCATGATCTTATAAAATCCCACATATAGAGTAAAAAATCACAATTATGCCCAAATACAAAGTTTTGCAGATACCAAAAAAAAAAAGAATATTTGACAAAGCTTACCAATGATTACTGCTTGCCCAATACTGAACAAATAGTCGACTCATTGCTTAAATAGTCTTAAAATTGGCTTCCTAGGTCAGAAGGAAATCTGGTCAATACGGAGCTTTCCAGAACACATGGTGCTCTCTCCACAGAGGTTTAGGAACTGGAAGTTACTAGACATCACTCCTTTACTTTTAGAAGAGAAACCAAACTAACTTGTCTTGGTACCTACAAATGGCTCTGAGCCTTGCAGTGGCGGAAAAGGGGAAGCTTACTATAGCCCCTTAACCCTCCTCCCCTGGATTCACTCCCAAGAGCATATTCAATCATTGGGTAACTCCTAAAGAAATATAAAATAAATCTTCATGTCTGAGGGAAGCTGAACCATTACTCTGATCCCAAGACTCTTTAGGCTCTCTGCATAGGGATTAAGGACCTGGAGTATACCATAAGTTATCCATTCATCCTCTAAGGAGAAATCAACTGTCCTAGGCACAAACTATGCTATGATTTCCTCAGTTCCATGAAGCCATGCTACTGGGGTCTAGATAAAATTTTTAAGTGCATTACATAGAGTGCACTAAAATTTCTCTAGCGGTCTTCATACCATAGATGGTTCCCTTAGAGGTCTGGGCAAATTTCTTTCGCTTCTTCTTCCAAAGGACACCTGGAGTTTCCCTGCTAGGTACCCATGTTATAGCAAGGGCAATCCAAATAGATTGTAAACTTTCCTGACAAGACAAGTAGTCTCAGTTAAAGAAAACTGCAAAACAAAGGCAAGCAAATCCCAAACATAGATAAACCTTTCAATGTATTGAATTATATATTCTTTGGCCTCACTTTTTCAGCTATATCCTACACTTTAGCATTACAGGATACCACGAAAGGTTATAGTGTGGTATATCTTTTTCTCTTCTGCCACTTTGAACAAACCCCCACATGTAAAATGTGCTGCCCATGTCATGTTATGTTATATGTTATGTATATGTCCACATGGGTTTGTCATGTGGCTCAGAGAGAGGTAGATGTCTCTGGAAGTTTGTCCATTCCTCTCCAAAAAAGATTTTGATTCCTGCGTGGAAGGCAGCAAGAGATTGAGGCCACAAGCCTCTCCAACTCCTCCCCTGAGAGTAGACACCAGAATAGAATTATATTTATCTATATTGCTGGTTTAGGGGAAATGAATTTAAGGTTTAAGCCACTTTTCTGATCACTATCCCTTAGTGGTTAAAGAGTGCCTCAGGCTACATCTTATCAGCCTGTTAAGTATAGTGGCCACTCATGAACCAATTCCAATGATGATTGGTATGGAAGCTTTAGCCCACCATATTTTTCTGACCGGGGCCATTTTACCCCTCCGTAGGTAGCCTATTGGCTCTCTTTTCCTGGGGGTTCTGTTATATCAATGCCAGAATTAGGGCAGACACCCTCTTGATCAACTTTAGCCCTATTGTTGTTCAGAACCCCTGACCTCAGTGATCCACCAGGCTCAGCCTCCCCTACTAACCAAGAATTACAGGCATGCAGGGGCAGCTAGGTGGCACAGTGGATAGAGCTCTAGCCTTGGAGTCAGGAGGACCTGAGTTCAAATCTGGCCTCAGACACGACACTTACTGGCAGTGTGACCCTGGGCAAATCACTTAAACTCGATTGCCTCACCAAAAAGCAAGAAAAAAAAGAAAACAAAAAGAGAATTACAGGCATGCTTTAAGGTTTATAAAGCACTTTTCTAATAATATTCCCATAAGGTAGTTCAAATAATATACATATCCATGTTATTAATCAAGAAACTGAGGCTGAGAGGGGTGAAATGATTAACCCACAATACAGGATTCATTTCATGACACAATTTCACTCACCTTCTTCTCTCTCTGTATCTCTGTCTCTGTCTGTGTTCTCTCTCATGCCCACACTGTCTGTCTTTCTCATGCACACAGGCGCACGCATGCAAACACACACACACACACACACACACTCACACACAATATGCAAAGTGTGTTTTAACTCCGGTGAAAATGAGTGGATTATAAAATGTTATCCTTTGGGAATGGTGAAACTCCATTACTATGGACACGTTAAAACCCATCTGGGCAAAACACAATGAAGGAGAAGTACAGGAAGTGATTCTTCACATTCAGCGATTAACCACAAGACCTTTGGTTTTCTCTTGAATTTTTCATTTCTAGGATTTTATCATTCATAAGCTTTCTTTTGTATGGGGATCTCTCAAGCACACACAGATTGGGTGATGTGGACACACAATTGAGCCATTAAGACTCGTTTACTGCATTGATTTGTCTTTCTCTTTCTGTTTCTCATTCATTAATGATACACAGACTTGTCTCCAGATTCTTTTTTTATCCTTTTTAAAAACTCATATTTTATTTCTTACAAAGAGTTGCCTGATGTCGTAACGACTCATCAAAGTCATAATTACATTTCATTTGTCTGCATTGAGCTGTCTGTCATGTGTAAGCACTTTGGGGATGCCATGCATCTTCCTGCATTTGTCTCCTTTCTTGTTATTTACTGTTCTGAGATGATGCATTACTGATTTCCAGCTTCTTTTGCTTCTCTTTTTTTAATTTTCCCGGCCACACATCGATGTTGCTTATAGTCTTCTTGCTGCCTTTAAGGCAAAATGATGATGATGCTGTTTTGTATTTTTATGTATTTGAGTTACCTAAAGAAATTGTTTAAGGTTAACCTTGATTTTTATCACCATAACCAATCTGCTACAACAAGCTGGATGCTTTATTCACAAATACCATTCTCCAAAGGGAAGTTTGCCATTGGCAAAACACTGCAGTAAGGAAAAGGGATTGGAGGGAGGTTCACGAAGTAGTCAGATGATAGGGTCATTATCTGAACCTTATCTGAACTTCCTGAGTCACCAGTATTGAGTTGGAAATTAGAGCTCTGCCTCTTGCTCCAGGCTTCCTGCTTTTAAGAAAACTAGCTAACTCTAAGTATTGCTGCATACATTTCCAGTTCATTCAAAGGACTCCATAGAGCTGAGAAGTGGAGAAGCTAGTGGTAGCCTTTGATGGGTAAATAAAACAGATATCACTGGCCTTCTCTTTGTAGAATATGTATCTCTCTTGAATCTTTAAATGAGCTTAGGTGTTTTTATTTCACCTTTCCCCCAGTGGGCAAAGGACCTTAAAGATCTTAGATTTTGAGCAAAAATGGATCATCAGAGTTGTCAAATATTTTTTCATCATCATCAATAATAATAATAATAACATTTACGTAGCACTTTAAAGTTTACAAAGAGCTTTACAAATATTATCCCTTTTGAGTTTAAAGCACTTACTCAAGGTCATGTAGGTAACAAGTGGCAAGAAGTGATCCAAATTCAGGTCCTCTGATTCTAATTCCAACACTCTTTCTTTCTGCTTGTCTGTTCCGTCCTTCTCATTCATTCTATTGAGGAAGACATAGGGGCCCAAAAGGGAAAGTGACTTGATCATTTTAAGGCTATCAGCTACAGTTGAAAAGATGAAAATCAGTCTTGAGAAAACTTAAAATTCCATGAATCCTTCAAACTTGAAATCAAGTTCAAATAATATTAGGGGCATCGGTAATAATTTGCTTTTTTAATTTTTTCTTTGATTTTGTTTGGTTCATGGGTCATAACGGCCAAAAAATTTTATCACTTAGTGTCTAACCTGCTGGTAATGAGCTTCTCTGCACTTAGCTAGGCTGATCCTCAGCCTTTGAGGACCCTTTTGTGACAGGAGTAGGGTTCCTTCATTTCTCCCCAAAAAAGGATTAGTTTTCCTTAAAAGGCAACAAAGATATCCCTTGATTGGCTTCTGACTTTGCCAACTCAGCTTCCTGGTCAACTGAGGGCATAAAAAATTCAAACTTTATGGATTCAGGCCCTGCTGATTTGGTGCACTTCTGAAGATCATGCTCATCACCATACCTCGCCCTACTGATCAGATGTGTTTCCATATGAAGAACAAGCAGGGCTATGTGAAGATGAGTGGGGCTCTGTAGAGAGTAATTAAATGTCATTGTATCCTTTTGGCATATCCTTGCTGTGTTAAGGCAAAGTAAACCTCCTTCTGTAAACTGTTCAATGAGCTGTGAGTGCCTCATTTTGTCTCAACGTTGAACCTGAACTAATCAGTATTGTTAGGCCTGACCCTAACACCCTGGATGCACTGTACATCACGAGGAAGCATCACATAAGACTTTGAGGGGGAAACATGAATAGAAATTGACATGAAAGAGCCATTAACGTGTCGCAGTAAGTATACTGTTATTGCTGTAAAATTTAATTGGGGCAAAATTATTCTTCAGTGATTTTCTCTGTCTCCTTAGTTTAAGAATACTTTCCCTAAAAGCAGCCACCAGTCTGCCAAGCAACAAGCATTTATCAAGTGCTGACTGTGTGCCAGATGCTATAGTAGCCAGTGGGGGTATGACAACAGAAATGAAACAGCCCCTACTTTTGTTGTGAGGATGTCCCCAAACCAACTATATAGACTGGTAACTCCAGCACCAAATTGTTTAGAGATTGATCCTTCATTACATTTAAAGTACTTTAAGGTAATGTGGGAGGCAGCTAGGTGACATAATATGTAGAATACTGGATCTGGAGTCAGGGAGACCTGGCTTCAAATTTAGCCTTAGATATTTCTTAATTGTTTGACTCTGGGCAAGTCACTTAATGTCTGTCTACTTAAGCTTCCTCATTTCTAAAATGAGGATTATAATAGCACCTACCTCGCAGAGTTGTTGTGGGGATCAGATGCTTATTATCATTATGATTATTACCATTAATCTTCTATGAAAATCTCACCTCTATTATTCTCTGTTGTTGTTCAGTCATTCAGTCATGTCTGACTCTTTGTGACTCAACGGACCATAGCACACCAATGCTGTGTATGGGGTTTCCTTGGCAAAGATATTGGAGGGGTTCGCTCTTTCCTTTTCCAATGAATTAAGGCAAACTGAGGTTAAATGACTTGCCCAGGATTATATAGCTAGTAAGTATCTGAGTGTAGATTTGAATTCGGGTCTTTCAGACTTTAGATCTAGCAGCTCTATCCACTGAGCCACCTAGCTGCTTCTAAGGCAAACAGAGGCTAAGTGACTTGCCCAGGGTCACAAAGCTACTAAGTGTCTGAAGCCAGATTATGAACTCAGGCCTTCTTGACTTTAGGCCCACTGCTCTACCCACTGAATCACCTAGGTACTCTCCTATTATTTTTCATTCTACTATTCTCTTCTTTTCTATTTTTATTTTCTTCTATTATAATAATAAGGTAAGCATCACTATCCCCGTTTCAGAAGAGGAAATATACCCACAGATGACTTACCTATAGTCACACAGATAGGAAGTATAAATGTCAGGAATCAAACCCAGGTCTTTTGACTCAAAGCCTAATGATCTAAGTATCATATTGACTTCAGGATGATCTCATCCACAGTCCAACATTTTCTCTCAATTCAATTCAGGAAACATTTGTTAAATATTTAGTTTGTGCTAGGAGCTAGGATTGCAAAGACAAAAAAGAAACAAACCCTGCTCTTAAGATATCAAGAACTTTACTCTATTTTTTTTTTAGCTATAAACCCCTTTATCAAAGCAAAGTCTATGATTTTACTGCATTTGGATGTCGGTGTGTGATTTTTTTTCCTTTATAAAAGCAGTCACTTTTTCTTTAAAAGTATATCTTCCCCCCCTCCTCCTCCTTCTTCCTATTTATTTATTACTTTTTTTCACATTTCATAAAAATCTTAGATTTAGAGCTGGGAGGGATTTTGTGGATCATCCTTACCCAATTGTCAGGAGTGAAGTCACTTGCCCAAGTTTACAGGAAGTAAGTAACAGCCCCAGGGTTCAAATCTAGGCCTTCTGATTTCCAAAACCAGCAGTCTTTCCACTAAGCCAGACACAGAGTACTTTCGATTTTTATTAAAGCCCTAGTATACATAAAGTACAATGTTTGGGTGATGCTAGTCCTTGCACATAGAGTCTGGGTTTAAGGACGTCCTCTATCCTAAAGCAACAGGGATACAGCTGCCTGCTCCCATTTCCTCATAACATCATCAGCTATCTCTGCCTCCCTAGTCTCTTCTCCCTTGACCGCAGACCCTAGAACAGGAAAGGAGGGCATCTCCAACAGGGCGTGCTGTTAGTGGTGATACAACCACTGTCCAGGGTACTTCCTGTATCAGGAAGGAAAAAGAAAGCTGCACAATGGATATTGCAAGTTTAGTAATGTATTTTTCTCCTGCTGCTTTGGTGAAAGCCATGGCATCAATTTGACAAGGGTCAAGAAGCCATGTAGCAGATAATTGGAGGAAATGGAAGGCCTTTAGGGACCTGCTGCACCATAACCCAACCCCTCCAGAAGTTCCATTACAGTAAAACTCGACCTTACCTCATCCATGGAGAGGCAATGATATTGGGGGTTGTGTCCTATGGTATACACTGTGTTATGGATTATTCTACAACTAGTTTTTTCCCCCCTGTCCTATGAAATAGGTAGGACAATCAAAATTATCTTCATTTTATAAATGAAGAAACGAGGCATATAAAGTTTCAGTAGTATTCTAAAGGTTATTCAGG